GGGGAACATTGATACAGCTGAGGATAAAAGCACTCATAGGCTAGCGATGAGCTGAAGGCAACATCATAGACAGAAAAAAAAGGTTGCCAGGGCAAATTTTTGCCATGATTATATGCAGTTGAAAAACATCCAAAAATGTACAGATTTGTTGTGACATATAGATGGACCAGAAGTCAAGCATATGCATGACCAATTATACCTGATGTAGTAAAAAAATCAAAAGGGCTCTGGTGTGACCTTTTCAGACATTACTGGCACTTGTAGCATCTATCACATTAGAGGGGGAGCAGTGCCCCCCTGGATTCTACATTGGACAAACAGGTCAGACTTTGTGCAAAATAATTAATGGACACAGGTTTGACAACAGGACTCAAAACAAGGAGAAACTAATACCAGAGCCTTTTGACCTCCCAGAACACTTGATTACAGATATCAACGTTTTGGAGTAAAGAAATGATTCCAACATTATAGAATGAGAGGCTGGCAAATTCCCATATGTCAAAAGGTTTCAGGCTATTTCACAAAGTCTTCACAAACAAATGAGTGTTTAACACATTACAATTACTAACTGTAATCTGTTTCACATATAATTTGCATCTGCATAACCACTCTTTCTTCCCTCCTGCTTATTTCAGTTTTACATCAGTTAAATCACTCCATGCTTCTGATGAAGTAAGGTACAGCACATGTGAGCTTATGCCTTTTAATAAAATATGTTAGTCTGAAAAGGTGCTATCAGACTCCTTCTGATTTTTAACTACTATAGACTTACACGGCTCTCTTCCTACAACATCAAATGTACTCCACTCAGACACTCTGTGGTGTAATATGTTTTTTAGCCTTTAGGATCCCACAAGATCATTTAGCTTATTTGTGCAAATGGTGACTTTTAGTGTAAGTAAATGTACCCAATTCTCTTTCCCAATAGATCACTTTTACTTCTTGGAAGGACAAAATGATGCTTTGCTGTGTGGCAATGGTTCAGATGCAGGGTGAGAGAATGGTCTGTTATATATTATTATTTATATAATACATTATTATTTGTTTGAAAATTGCAGTGATGGTTAAGGGTAAGCAATTTAACTTTTCTTTTAGTATCTGAAGCGTTTCAAATTTGATAATATTTGGGGGGCAGAAGTTAAATGTTTGCATCTAACTTTAAGCTGTAAATTTTGGAGATGGGAGAAGCTATAAACATTTCCCCACTCCTCTTTCTCAGTCTAACTTTTTTATTTATTTTATTTTGGGAAACATTTCTAAAGTCAAAAGAAGCCTTTCTCTTTGTTTCTGGTCTTGAACTGTTATTTAAAAAGATACTAATCTGGTAGGACTGCATTTTATGATGCTGCCTTAAGGATTTAGCTGAGGCAATCAATAGTTTTCCCTAGTTAATGCTGAAAAAGACCAGCTTTCCTCAACTTGGTACCCTCCAATGCTTTGCATTTTAACTGGTTTAATTCTTCAGCCCACATTACCAAATTAAAATCCAACATTCTGGAGGGCATCAAATTGTGGCCATCTCTGCATGTAATTGGCATTCTTCGATTATTTCACATAATACATTTATTTACAAGTGAGTATCATTTTCATTCTATTGAAAATTGACAAGCCATTTGCTCAAGCCTCAGTCTGTAGTAAAGCATACATTGATTAGGATAACCTTTAAAAATGGCAATTTTTTCCTTTTTCTAGTCAATGTCCAGAAGGATATATGTGTGTAAAAGCTGGTAGAAACCCCAACTATGGCTATACAAGTTTTGATACCTTCAGCTGGGCCTTCTTGTCACTCTTTCGGCTGATGACTCAGGACTACTGGGAAAATCTTTACCAACTGGTGAGGGTCTTTGTAAGCAGGGAGTACCAGTAGTAGCACTGAGGCTGACTGTGTAAAGCAGCATTTTAATATGAGAACCTGAATGAATTGCCAAAAAAAAAAAAAAAAGGTTCAGAACTGTTTTCATGTCATGATGGACTGTTTGATTCTGAAACATAACAGTTATATACTCAGACCAGTGAAGAACTTCAAAGTCTATTTGTTTCATTGAGAGTTAATTGTAATTTCCACCACCTGAGGGCCACTCTAGGCTTTATGTGGCATACTGAGGCCTGCATTCCAAAATAGGTGGAACCAAGGCCCATTTGAGAGAGAGGTTGCAGGGTTTGGGGTGTGAAATAAGTGTCTGCAAGCTTGAGGCATTTTTTTCCCTTTTGACCCCCAAATTCTCCACAGTGTAAACAAGTATTGGCAATCTATACCTCCATTCCAAATATTACTGTACTTCAATTTTTATTGTTCCCATCATTGGTCAACTGACTGTTGCTGGTAAGAATTGAAATTGAGCAATGTCTGTAGGGCTACACACCCTTCCCTGCTATGTTATTGAGGGTGCTGACAGAACTGGAACATCCCAGTTGTCCTTAATCTCTTCCTTATGTTTAAGATAGAGGAAGTACCTCTGTCTCAGTGATGAAGGGAGGTGAATTCCAGCTGTGCTTGGTTCAGTAGCTCAGATGTGTCTTTCCATCTATGATTGTTACAGCAGCTGTAGATTTATTTGTAGATTAACATACAACCTTGTACATAAACTCACACATATACCTAATCCAGTCAAACCATCTCTGCTAATAAGGTTATGAACAATGTTTATTTTATGTTCATTCCCTAGACTATAAGAAAGAAGGAGGCTACTATATTTTGGAGGAGTGTTATGAAATTATTTATTCTTTATTTTCTTTTGTAGACTTTGCGAGCTGCTGGCAAAACATATATGATCTTTTTTGTCCTGGTGATTTTCTTGGGTTCTTTCTACCTGATCAACTTGATCCTGGCTGTTGTTGCCATGGCCTATGAAGAGCAGAATCAAGCCACCATGGAAGAAGCTGAGCAAAAAGAGGCCGAGTTCCAGCAGATGCTGGAACAGCTGAAAAAACAACAAGAAGAGGCTCAGGTTACTTAATGGGCGGAATACAACTTTTATATTTTGTCCTCTACTTACACAGGATGACACATAAAGTCATGGTTTTACCTTTTCAAATTTTGAGGCTTTCAGCTGGTCGACCCAGGGGCATGGGTGCTTAGAACATTTCAAGATGACTACCATGTAGTGGGCACGTATATACATATATTCAAACAAGATGTACTGATGACCATTGGAGTATGGAGAACATGACCATATGTTCTCCCTCTTTTGTGGCCCACAATATTGAACCTCCATTTGAGGACAGGAAACTAAAAACACTTGGTGCATTAAGCCTCCAATAGATTTAATATACCTATAAAAACTAAATCTCTTTGTCTTCAAAAATCCTTCCCCCCCCCAAAAGAAAAAAAAATGGGAGAATTGGACCCCAAATATCACTCCTGCTTACCTCATGATGTCATTATGCCACTGTTCAATTCACTAGGGCCCAGAACATTTTTTTTTAAAAGGAAGGGCACTCCTACCTTGGGGCAAAATTTGAACACATAGTGCTAAATGAAGCTCTGTTCTGTAGTTTCAGAATGAATTAAATATCCCTCCATCAGAAATAAAATACAGATAGGGTATTCAGATATTAAATATATCTTCTACAACCACTAAAAAAACCCCTAATTTGATTTTCCTTTCATATTGACCTCTCTGTTAAAAAGGAATCAGTGAATCCTACCTACTAAAAAGGAGTGGACAGGGCACTTTCCTTTTGATGCTACTTCATGAGAGAGGCCAGGGGATTTCAGTCTTCCTTTCTCCCACAGGATCAATCCCCCCTCCCTCCCTTCCTGAGAGCTGTGTTTTTAATAAAGCTGCTTTGACCACCAATAAAAGAGAAATGTCCTTTCTGTGAGTTATTTTTAAAACTCAGGGTAGCATGTTAGTGGGATAGGAATAATCAAAGCAGCTAATAGTCATATCCAGAGTAATAACTGCATCCCTCTCCCCATCCCCATACAGACCTTCATCCTCTGCCTCTTTATCTAGTCTTAAAACCATGAAGTTTAATTTTAACGTACTTAGTGAAATTTGGCTGCAACTAAGAGGAAGCTGGAGTACGCAGAAGACTTGGGGCAAGAGAATTACATGCAGCCCATCGGCCAAAAGCTACTCACCCATGCTTTTTACTGACCTGTTTGCTAAGGGAGGTGGTATTTTTAGCAATTCTCCAGTTTCTTGGTCCTTGTGCTCAATACTGTACTTCTCACTTCAGCAAACACTGGGAAGTAAACTGAACAGCTACCTCTCTTCCCACACAATCGAGGGGTGGTAGACAAAAGCAAGGACTGGCATTTCAAGATTGCTGCAAGACTATCTAAAATGGTAGATCTACTGGGGGTGCAGACCAATGCCCTTTGGTAGAATAAGATCGAACCTGACACACTGAGGTAAATTTAGTGAGATCAAGGTATGCTTCATATTCATTTAAACATGTCACATTATTTGGTAGGTTCCTTTTTTCCTTGAAATATAGAATTACTATAATGAACATCAAACGCATCTGCTTTAAAAAAAAGCCAGCTGTATTAACAGATTGGTATGATGTATCTGAAATGTACTTAATTTTCTCATACCACAGGCAGCAGCTTTAGCCGCCGCAGTGGGTGAATCGAGAGAATTCAGTGAAGTTGGTGGTGTTGGCGGGTTCTCGGAGAGCTCTTCAGCAACATCAAAGTTGAGTTCCAAGAGTGCTAAGGAGAGAAGGAACAGGCGGAAAAAGAGAAAACAGAGAGAACAGTCTGAGGGAGATGAAAAGGATGAGGATGAGTTTCACAAATCAGAATCAGAGGACAGCATCCGCAGGAAAGGCTTTCGATTCTCCATTGAAGGGAACAGATTAACCTACGAGAAAAGATTCTCTTCCCCACACCAGGTATGGAGAATATATGTGGGCAAAATAGATCCTGTAACCCCGTGCACGTTTCACTGCCATAGGGCTTTGGATCACTTTAGGTGTTAACCAAGTGATGGCTTGGTGATCCTCAATAAAATCCTGGGTTTCTCATTCCCCTTTTTCTTCCCATGTATCTACTTAATTAGTTACCACTTGGTATGTGATTGTGCAGAATTAGGACTCATTTCTGCGTTCTGTATCAATTTCTGTGCAAGCCTCAAGGAAAATCTTACTGAGCAAATTGTAAGGCAATTGCTTTGGGGGACTCCTTAGATGAGGAGAATTTGCCTCAAGCTCCTGGCTGTTTTTGCTGCTGCCTCTCCTTTTCCAATGGGCCCAGTCCACTCATATGGAGGCTGCTGCTCCTGTTGTTCCTCTAGCCTTATTTCTTGCTTGCTTAGAAGAAGAGAATACCAAGGTAGCAGCTGCAAGGAAAAGGAACGATGAAAGCTAGAGAGCTCCCGGAATCAGCAGTGGTCTCCCTTCCAAAGGGCAGGCCTTGGCTGGTCCAGTTCTCACCATAAAGCAAATGCCAACATGAAGTGAGCAGGGATTAGTCGGGGTTTTACTCATTTACAATTCACCATATATAGAATGCAAAGTCATGAGAAATGGTGACACTAATTTAGAAGAAATGGTTTAATACATTTTTTAAATATTTTGCTTGTGTTTCATGGAGATAATTCCTGTGCTCTTGAGACAGCACCCAAAAATATCTGTGTTCATTAATTTCCTTATAATATCATGATTGCATAATACTTAGGAAGGATCTTTAATCTTCCCATTGCCTTTCAAGCTGTTTATGGATGCTTCTGATCTTGCATTCCCTTGCAGTCTTTGCTGAGCATCCGCGGATCGCTGTTTTCCCCCAGGCGCAGCAGCAAAGCGAGTCTCTTCAGCTTCAGAGGCCGAGCAAAGGATCTTGGATCAGAGAATGACTTTGCTGATGATGAGCACAGCACGTTTGAAGACAACGAGAGCAGGAGAGATTCCCTCTTTGTTCCTCACCGGCACAGTGAACGCCGCAACAGTAACATCAGTCAAGCCAGCCGATCGTCCAGGGTGGTCCCTGTCCTTCCGGCAAATGGGAAGATGCACAGCACGGTGGACTGCAATGGGGTGGTTTCCTTAGTTGGTGGGCCTCCTCCTCTGATGTCACCCACTGGGCAGCTTCTGCCTGAGGTAATAAGAGATCAGTGTAACTACCATTGGCTCAAGGACTGTACCAAACTTTGCCTGGCATGTGAAGAAAGTTGGGAGGCCAATTTTGACGGGGTGCTTTCAGGAGCTTTAAGGCATTGTAAGGGATGAAATGAGCGCTTTACGCACCTGTAAGGCATTCATCTGGTCTGTTAAATTCCCCCAGGCTCCTAAAAGAGCAAAGAAAGGGTCAGGAATTCCAAAAGGGTTGGTGACAACCTGCAGACAATCTTTTGGCCACATGTTTTTCACTTTGTAGTGGACAAAACAGCATTGATTTGAAACTTGGATTCAGATCTGCATGCACTTTGGCACTGGAGCAGATTAAACTAGAAATGCCCTTGGCTGCTACATTAGCTTGTAAATCAAAATAAACTGAAAAAAACACCTCTAATTAGGCTTTCAGAAGAACTCGTGAGAGCATATGCTGTTAAGCTAAAGCTCAGAGCTTTCCTATGATAAGGAATCCTGCACAAGAAGAGTTCTTGGTCATGGGGGGAACTAAGATACAGAATTTCCCTTCAGCCCTTTGAAGAGAGTAATTTCATCCCAGGTGTTTCCAGCTGTGCATTGCTGGTTCTGTCAACATTGGGTGATACAGGTTTTCTGCTGCTTCTGCCAACAAGAGCTTTTGTGTGGCCACACTTCTACTGTTCTTATTATTTTGGGAAGAAGGAACACCATTTGCCTATTTCATTCCACTTCCTGTTTCATTCCACTTCCATGGCTGTCCAGGTGTTGCCATGTCTGAGAACAGGGTTGAACGTGCTACCAACACTGCCATTTTCTTGCAGCACTAGTTGACATGGAAGTTATCAGTCTCTGCCTCCAACTTCATCCCACATCCCTCCTTCCCATCTGTACTTTTGGACAGGGTTTAATGCTCTTTCAGAAGAATGCTAGACCCACATCCAGAAATAGCCCAACTGACAATTTGATGGGTGGTTCAACATGATATTTCAGGCACCTGCTTACACTCACTCAATCCTGCTCCACTTTAGGGAGAATGATTGCTGATAGTTTTTCTACTAGAAAGCAGTGTTTGGTGGAATGGGAAATAAAGCTAGGGGAACTGACCAATTGCTTTCCTTAACCTGCCTTGCATTAAAACAGTAAGGGCAACATTTACCACCAGCCATATTACTTTGGCAAAATAGGGCTTGACAATCAAGACAGCAAATTTTATTCAAGCATACTTTTCTGGCAACTCAGAGACTGGTGGTTAGCTCCTTAATGTGGCCATATGACTGTGCACATAGAGTAAAGAGGTGGAAGAAATGTAGTTTAAATAAAGGATTTTTGTTTTATAATGTTCCTATCTGATTTTTCAATGGTTGTAAGCACAACTTGGAACACTGTGTAACATGAGTAGTGTTTCAGCAGTTTGTCACACAACTAAATCAAAGAAACATTAACATTAAAGGACAAAGGAGAACTGGAACTCCTTTGAAGTGAGATTAAGACATTCAATACTTCCCCTTAAAGGATGCCAGTCAGTAGCCATCTTTCTTTTTAATCCAGAAGCACTCTAAACAATACTGTTGATGATGTAGCATCACTCTGAAGGGAATTTTCATTATTTGTTTAAAAAATGTTCCTAAGGACAGAAAATTAGGTTGACAATACTTAACTCAAGGGCACTGTTAGAACAATGCTGTTTCTTCATATAATGTCACTCCATCTGCTTCTGACAAAAAAGAAAAAGAAAATCTGGGCTGCACACATTCAAATGACCGCTAGTTGGCAGCAAAAACATACAGAAAACGCACCCTTTGCTGCCATCTCCTGATTGTGCAGATTTATGCAAGCCAGATCTGGTAGCTTTAGTCATTAGTGACAACTATTAGAAGCAGTAATGATGCTGGCCAATGAGTTTCATACCCAGCCTTTTATTTCTCTGCTCTTAAAAGGCCTCTCCTCATTTTCATATCATACACTTAGGATGGCGAAATGAAAAAAGGGAAATTATAAGGCTAGTCTACAATAAATATGAGCATTAACTTTTACAAATGGAAGTTAATGTAACTGTTTATTTGTATGTAAATATAACTGATTAACTAAACTTTAACGTCCTTAGCTAAATCCTTAAGGCATCTTTAATTGGATTACTTCTTTACTTAAGACTATTTGGGCTGCAGAAATCCAGAAGGCAATGGGATGATGCAGAGCTAAAGTTTTCTGTATCTAGTCCTGGGTAACTTTTGCACACAAGCATTGAGCCAAGAGGCACTAAGCCCTTTTTCATACGGGTAATGGAAATGTATTGTTCAAGACAAATGATCTCTCTGACTTACTTTTGTATATCCGGAAGATATATCATGTGTAGTGGTAGCAGACTATTTTTACAAAGTAAAAAATAACAATATTCTTCCAGTTCATAAGTACTATATTTTCAGGGCACCACTACAGAAACAGAGTTAAGAAAAAGGCGCTCCAGTTCCTACCACATGTCAATGGATTTTCTCTCTGATCCTACTGCAAGGCAAAGAGCCATGAGTATAGCTAGCATACTTACCAACACAATGGAAGGTAAGCATTCCATCAAAACAAGACTTCCAAAATTCAGAGGGCAAGAGCTGAACTCCCATGACAGAAAGAAAGCAACATCTTCATATTCATTCATTTAAATTTTACTAATCGACTCTTGTTGGCCATTGATTTTTGTACCCTATATAAACCTTTTCCTTATGACCACTACTGAGGCTATAATGTTAAGACCTAAAAAAAACTAGTAGAGATGTCAGATTTGTTGTTCTAGGAGAGAATTCTAAGCATTCTGATCCTCTGGATTAATTCAGTTCAGAGAGCAAATCAAACCAGGGTCCAAACTATGGTCTGAGCTTTCAGACACACAGTGCTCCCAATGGAACGGACCCAGTGCTGCTTTTCTGCTTTCATTCTCCCTCTGTTTACTCTCATTTCCACACTGCAACAATTTCTTGAGCTAGAACAGGATTCTAATTAGAGCTTGCCCACTCCAGCTTTTCATAGTTTACAAATTCAAACATAAGAGCCAACCGCCATTAGCATAAATACAGTTCACAAAGCAGCTTCAAATATTTCTGTAAGTTGACACAGATTCAGACATAGCACAAACTATGGGTTGGGTTTGTAGTGTTAGATCAGAGTGTAGGCCAGCCCGATTTCCTAAATGCCAACTGAAACTCTTAACTACAGTAGGCCTGTGTGTGAAGCTTTTTGCCAGAGGTGATACGTCTTGCCTCAACAAACATGCATACAATTTACCTTGACAAGGGGGTTCCTGTTGCCTTATAACCCCATTGTAATCTCTTACTGCTTCCTCCATTTTGCCTTGTCCTGCACTTGTAAAAACTAGAAGAGGCTTCAGGATAGATGGTGCAGGTGTGCAAAGGTTTCTCTGACACTTCCATGTACAGAATCCTGTTCCAGGTTCTGAAAGTGCCAGAGAAGGTTGCAGGGAAGGTTTTTGAAGTCCTAGAGAAAGCTGTAGAAGAAAGTTCTTAAGGACATTGTGGAGGTAATGCAACCATTTTGCTTTACTGATATTAGTAATGTGGAGCTGTTTCAGGAAGCAATTTTGGGGGGATTCTCTTCTCAGAACTTTGTCAACTGTCTGTGGAGCCTTGCCCAGCCCTAAATTACAGTCAAGCAAATCACTGCTGTGTGTCTACCTGTGAGGAAGACAGGGGAAGATCCCCTCCTTCCCACGACACACAAAAGAAAAATATCGCTAGCATACAGCTTCTCCCAATCCACGTTTAATAAAGAATACATGTTTGCATTTTTCTGGCCATTTGTAAAAAATATGATGAGCCATCGTTACAGAGGGAAGTCATTCCTAGAATCCCTGTCATGCTGGATTCTTGACATACGTGTTGAATGGATGAATCAGGTAGCTTTTTAAATGTTCTCTTTTTGTACGCCTTCTTTTCACTCTTTCTAGAACTTGAGGAATCCAGGCAGAAGTGCCCTCCCTGCTGGTACAAATTTGCTAACATGTGCTTAATCTGGGATTGCTGCACTCCTTGGCTGAAAATAAAACATATTGTTAATTTGATCGTGATGGATCCATTTGTTGACCTGGCTATTACCATCTGCATTGTTTTAAACACTTTGTTTATGGCGATGGAACATTACCCAATGACCCAGCAGTTTAACAACGTACTGTCCGTTGGAAATTTGGTAAGTCTTCTGCAGTCCCATAAGAGAGCAAAGAGTTATATTTATTGAATAGATTGCCGAATATCTTGGACTCTCTAGTTAGATCTAGTTTAAGTCAATCTTTGGAGTCCTTGGGGTTCTCTGAGCTTGGTTCTTTTCTTGCAAACGTTTCATTACCCG